ATGGGAAATCTCCAGCCTTCAGATATTTTAGTATGCAACCCCCATTAGCCTCACCCGACATGACCAGTGGTAAGAGCTGGTGGGACCTGTAGTCCAAAACATTGTTGGAGGGCTCAGTAGTTTAGGTCTCCGGCTGTGGAGCCGGAGGTTGGGAGTTTGATTCCCTACTATGCCTCTTTGACAGAGGCTGTACTTGATGTTCCATAGGGTTCCTTCCACCTCCGCAGTTTTAAGATTATTATATATTATTAAATATTAAATATACCTGGAGGCCTGTTGTGATGTATATACTTTTGGCCTCACTTGGCTTGTCCACAGTTAGACTCAAAATTCTCAGCTGGGAGATAAGAAAATTTTTGTTGTTTAGTCATTAAGTTGTGTCTGGCTCTTTGTGACCCCATGGACCAGAGCACGACAGGCCCTCCCGTCTTCCACTGCCTCCCAGAATTGGGTCAAATTCATGCTGGTAGCTTCAATGACACTGTCCATGAATTTTGTCCTCTATCATCCCTGTCTCCTCTTGCCTTCATACTTTCCCAACATCAGGGTCTTTTCCAGGGAATCTTCTCTTCTCGTGAGATGGCCAAAATTTCAGGATCTGTCCTTCCAGTGAGCACTCAGGGTTGATTTCTTTCAGAATTGATCGGTCTGTTCTCCTTGCAGCCCAAGGGACTCTCAAGAATCTCCTCCACCACCACAGTTCAAAAGCATTAATTCTTCAGTGGCCAGCTTTCTTTATGGTCCAGCTGTCACTTCCATACATCACTACTGAAAAAACCATAGCTTTGACTATGTGGACCTTTGTCGGCAAGGTGATGTATCTGCTTATTAAGATGCTGTCTAGGTTTGTCATCGGTTTCCTTCCAAAAAGTAGGTGTCTTTTAATTTCGGGGCTGCTGTTACCATCTGCAGTGATCATGGAACTCAAGAAGGTAAAATCTGTCATTGCCTCCATATCTTCCCCATCTATTTGCCAGAAGGTGATGGGGCCAGTGGCCATTATCTTGGGTTTTTGTTTGTTTGTTTGTTTGTTTTGGATGTTGAGCTTCAGACCATTTTTTGTGCTCTCCTCTTTCACCCTCATTAAGAGGTTCTTTAATTCCTCCTCATTTTCTGCCATCAGAGTAGTATCATCTACATATCTGAGGTTGCTGATATTTCTTCTGTCAGTCTTAATTCCGATTTGGGATTCCTCCAGTCCAGCCTTTCGCATGATGTATTCTGCATATAAATAAGCAGGGAGACAATATACAGCCTTGTC